GCACTGGAAATCCAGGTGGTGGACGATGCAGTTGCGCAGGTGGTCACGCTCGAGCTAGCCGTCGTGCTGGTGGCGCCGTTCGTACAAGCCGTCGGAGTACTCGTCTCGGTCACCGTGGTTTGAATGACCCTGACGTATCCGTCAGCGTCGTGCCGTGGATCACCCTGGTGCTGGCCGACGTGGTGCTGCTCGATAGTGTCGCAATCGAGGTCGTGCAGCTCAACGCTGCGCTGCTCGTCACTACCACGCACACGCGGCTGCTCCATGTCGTTGTGGAAGTGGCCGTGGACATCGCGCTGCACGAGGACGTAATGGTCGCGACCGTGCTGCCCGAGGTCGCACTGCTGATCAGCTGAGGCGTGCTGCGAGACAACGGTGCACTGGAAGCCGAGGTGGTGTACGATGCAGTTGTGCCGCTGGACACACTCGAGCCGGCCGTCGTGCCGCTGGTGCCGCTCGGACTAGCCGTCGAAGAACTCGTCACGGCCAGCGTGGTATTGAATGACCTTGTCGGGTGTTGAATGACCTGGTCGTACCGTCAGCGGCGTCCCGCTGCTCACCGTAGTGCTGGCCGGCGTGGTGCTGCACGAAAGGGTCGCACTCAAAACGAACTGCCCGACATTGTATTGCACGTTTTAACCTCGTCCACGCTGTTGCACGTTGTCGTTGTGGAGCTCGCCGTGGAGGTGGCGATGGACGTCGCATTGCTCGCGACCGTACTGGCCAGGACACGCCGTACCACAACGTGTCTGACAGGATTGCCAGGAGACGACGATCCCCAACGTGACAGCCCGGGCGGCCAGAGTAACGACTCACGGTCGCACTGCTGGTGGGTCGGGGAGGGGACAAACGAAGAGCAACCCCCCCAGCACGACGAACGGTCGCACACTCAGTGTGGATGGGGGGGCCACCAGATGAGGCACCCCCTCCCGCACGACTAACGCTCGCACTGTTGGCGCGAGTCGGAGGGCCAAGAACTGCGGCAACCCCTTCCGCACGACAAACGGACGCACTGCCAGTGAGAGCTGGAGGGCAGCGAACAAGGGCACCCCCTCCCGCACAACGAACGGTCGCTCTGTTACTGTGGATGGGGGGCAACAAGATGAGGTATCCCCTCCCGCATGACTAACGGTCGCACTGTTGGTGCGAATCGGATGGCAAGAGCTGGGGCGTCCCCTTCCGCGCGACTAACGGTCGCACAGTCAGTGAGAGCAGGAGGGATACGAGCTGGGGCGCACTCTCCCACAAGACCAACGGTCGCACTGTGAGTGTGTATCGGGGGACAGCAATTTGAGACACTCCCACCCGTACGACACTGCGGATCCGAATGAATGCCCGCTTGCCGGCCTCCAAGAGACGGAGGGGACGACAAGTTGCGGCAAACGACCACGTGTTCTTCTCACAAAAGACTGCTGCAGTTGACGGCCGCACTTCCGGGACCATACTCCAGAGGCTCCATATTGTGAGGAGCGTCTCCATGCGCGGGCGCGCCCCCAGCAGCGCTCCCGCCTGTCGCCGGGGACCTGTGTCCAGGAAAGGGGGGGCTGTCGAGCGCCTGTCAGGCGCCCACCTCACTGCTGCCCCAGGGACGCTGAAAGGGGTGGTGGGGATACTTTTGTCAGCGACCGCAGGCGAGAGCGCCAGCGGCGAGTCGAGTCAGAGCGGGCCGCGCAAAGACGAATTAACCTAAAGCGGTGGGCCGGAGCTTCGGCGGCCAGGCCAGCGAGTGGAGGGGTGCTGGCAGCGGCTGCCAGGGAAGCTGCACTGCCAGGGGTTGCGCGCATGCAACGAACTGCAGAGAGGCTGACTGCCAGGGGGAGCCTACTGCCAGGGTCTGCAAACAGCTGAATTGGATACAAGGGGTGAGCACCCTAAGGAGGGGTGGTGGGGATACTTTTTAGTCAGCAGCCGCGGGCGAGCGCGCCAGCGGCGAGTCAGGTCAGAGCGGGCTACGCAGACACTAATTAGGCAGAGGCGGCGCGAAAAGGCTACAACTAACGCGGCAAGCCGAGGCCGCATGCGGCGGCCCAGCGGCGGGCGGGTGGCAGGAGAGACTGAGACTGAGTCGAGCTGCCAGCGTGCAAATGCTGGGCGTCGAAGGCACCAGGAAGTCGGGATAGAAACGACGACCAGGGACAACTCCGAGAATTAAGGCATGAGACCGAACCTCGAGCAGCTGCGTGGGCACCAGGGTGGCCGCGGCCAACGAACCGCCGGTCGAGGTGGAAGTGAAAAATGCAATGGCCAGGCCCCGGACGACGGCGTGAGCGCGAAAACCAGGGTGGTCCGAAGGACCGTCGGCCAAAGAATTGACGCCAGGAGGCGAGCGCGTTGGCAGGCTGCAACTCCCAGGGTGGCTGTGGCCGAGAGACCCCGAGGCAGCAGTACGCACGGATGCGGGAAGCGGCATAGCCGCGACGCAGCCATAATGGCGCGAGTCACCACGAACCAAAGCGTGAGGTGGCGTCAGGTTGACCCAGCACGGGGCCGAATGGGCACCATGCACAGGGCTGACACCCAAATGACGACAAGCGGAAGGACACCTCGGGCGAGCACAGGCCGGAGTCCAGGGAACCAACCGCACGTGCCGGGAAGGTACTGGACAAAGCGATGCCAGGACGGCCGCTAGCCCAGAAGAGAGGCACCGCTATCTGGGCGGCAAGGCCGAGGACCCGAGCGGTGGAAGGACGGCGGAGCAACGACTGCGAGGATGGAGGGCGGGTGGTTTCTACATGCGGTGCTCGCCTTAGCGCCGCGCACACTCGTTTTGAATGTTCTAACGATTTAGAAGGAGATCATTCTCAATTGCGGTTATCAGCTTAGCGCCGCGCACACTCGTATTAAAAGCTCCCGACGGCTCCACGGATTGAGGGGGTGGTTCCAACTCCTACCAATTTATGACCCGAAAGTCGAGATTGTGCGACAGATACGTGGATGGAGGGGGGGTCCTTTTCACAGTGCGGCTGTCGATACAGGCTTCCGCAGTTTTACGACGTCATCTTCGAAAGTGTACAACACTTCCACTGATGAAGGGCTGATTCTTCTCAAGACGGGGTTATCGCTGGACACGTCCTTGAAGGTTATCATCCTACTCCTTGTGTTTCTTCGAGCTAGAGGGAGGGAGTGTGGATCCTTTACAAGACCAGGTCTCGCCTGCGTGGCAAGCCCACCAGGCACTCGTCATTCAAGGGGGGGGGGGGGGGGCACTTCCCGCAGTGAAAAGCAAAACGTACAGGGACTTAGGAGGAGGGGACTTATAACGGGAGGGCGTATGTCAGCATCGGTGGTGCATCCTAGGTTTAGTATGGTTATCCTCCTCCTCGGCGTTGATCATAGACACTCGTCGCAGTTGGCCTCACCTCTGAGCCACCAGAGCTGGCACGACTAGAAGCCATGCGTGGAATCCTCCTCCTCCTCCTCCTCCTTCTCCTGCTCCCTCTCCTCCGCCTCCTTCCACTCCTCCTCGTCCCCCTCCTCCTGCCTCCCAACCCTTCGGGGGAGGATTCGGACGGTCACCGCATGCTGCGCAGAGTTTCGACTTCTCTGCGGCTATATCTGCAGCAGCGGGACCCTGCCAGCCTCTGGGCCAGGGTCTGGCTAAACTCGTTTTGTTATTCCCCTCGCGGGTTTCGCCAGCATGCTTGTGGTGCACGTGAGCTGCATGCTGCCGTAAACGGCAAACAAAAAAAGCCTCCTCCTCCTCCTCCTCCTCAGCATCCACATCCGCCCTGTCGCACCCCGAGGCCAGTTTTGTAGGGCGGGCCGGGCGTTTCGCCTGAGACTTCCTCATCGCTTATGACCCCGAAGCTTAAAACTTAGCAGCAGTTTCACAGATGGAGGGCGGGTCCTTTTTAAAATGTGGCCATCGCCTCAACGCCGCGCGCACTCCTCGTAAAAAAATGCAGGAGTTTCACAGATGGAGGGCGGGTCCTTTTCAAAATGCGGCTCTCGCCTTAGCGCCGCGCACATTCGTTCTTTTTTCATTTGCCAGAGATTCACGGATTGAGGGCGGGTGGTTTTCAGAATGCGGCTCTCGCCTTAGCGCCGAGCACACTCGTGTTAAAAAATCAAGAGATTCCGGGATTGAGGGCGACCCGTTTTCAAAATGTTGCTCTCGCCTGAGCGCCGCGCTCATTCATTTTCAAAGTTTGCATGGGTTTCACGGATTCCCATCTGGACACGGTTCCAGATCGTCAAGACGCAACAATCCCGTTCATCCGTGGCATGGGAATCCCAAGAACTATGGTTTGGCATGCTTCAGGGTCTTCAAACGGTTGTCTTCCAACGAGGCAATTCCCTCTGTGGAAATGAACCGTTGTAGGGGCTTATGAAGAGGGAGCTTGGAGGGAGGGTTTATTACAACATCGTTGATGATTCTTGGATTTACACTGGTCGTCCTCCTCCTCCTCCTTCCTTCTCCCTCCTCCCTCATCCCTCGTCCCTCCTCCTCACTCCTGCTTTTTCCTCCTCCCTCCTGCTCCTTCTCCTCCTCATCCTCCTCGGCCTCCTCCTCCCTCCTCCTCCATCAGCCTCCCTCCTCCTCTGAATCATTCTCCTCCTCCTCCTCCTCGTCCTCCGCCGCCGCCGCATCATCATGCTCCTCCTCTTCCTCCTCATCATCATCAACCTCAACCTCGACCAAGTCTTGCCATTACGGGTATCAGTGTCACCATGATCCGCAGTATCCGTATTGCCATCATGGTTGCCATCATCCCCCTCTCTCTTTCTCTCTCTCTCTCTCTCTCTCTCTCTTTCTCTTATATAGATATACATATAGATATGTGTGTATCGTTATGTCCCTTTCTCTCCCTCCCCCTCTCTCGCTCTCTCCCTCTCTCCTTCTCTGTCTCTCTCTCTCTCTCTCTGTCTCTCCATCGCTCTCTCTCTCTCTCTCTCTTTCGACCTTCCTCTGGCCACCCTCTATCCGTTACCCCAGGGCCCACTCGTCCATCTCCGTTGAGGAGCAGCACCAGCAGACGGAGTGCTGAGAGCGGTCGTGCCTCGGGTGCGCGGTACCATCGTGTGACCACGTACTCGGTGAGGACGCCCTGTACCTGGCGGGTTCAAGGGCAGGGCGGCCCTGGACGAGCAGCTCCTCTGCTCGAAGGGCTCGTGTGCAACTGTAACCAAAATGGAGTCGAGATGCAGGGGGGGAGGAGGAGGAGGAGGAGGAGGAGGAGGAGGAGGAGGAGGAGGAGGAGGAGGGGAGGAGGAGGAGGAGGAGGGAGGAGGAGGAGGCGGGAGGAGGAGGTGGGGCGGTGAGGAGGATGTGAGGGGGAGGTGAAGAGGAGGAGGTTGTAAGGAGGAAAGAGGAGGAAGAGGAGGGGGTGGGGAATTGACTCTGATCTGGTGCACTTGCCTCAGCAGCACCCCGACAAACCTGGCCGCTCTGCACTGGATCCGATGGTCAACACTCAGGACTTCGCTGCACGGTTTTTCCCGTGCAGGCTGGCAACAGTCAACATCAGAGTCCTCCTCCTCCTCCTCCTCCCTCCTCCTCCTCCTCCTCCTCCTCCTTCTCTTCCTCCTCATCCTCCTCCTCCTCCTCCTCCCCACTGGCTGCTAGCTCGCCACAGCGCAGACCTTGGCTCCACTGATGGGCCAATGATTCGATACCTTGTCGCGCATTTGCTCTGCTCGTGTTGCCGCGTTCACGACGTAGCATCGAGGGACCTCAGCTCCTCCTGCTCCTCGCCTCCTGGAGCACGGTCTGACCAGGACCTCGAATGAATCCAGCCGTGACGAGGAATGCCCCCCCCAGAGGGGCCCAAAAATACGAAAGACGTGAAAACTCTGGTCGAGGCAGGGCACGAGGGACTCTCGCTGCAGCTCACGAGGAGGAAGGCATGTCTCCTCCTCCTCCTCCTCCTCCTCCTCCTCCTCCTCCTCCTCCCCCTCCTCCTCCTCCTCCTCTGATCATCAGCCTCATCATGATCATCTTCATCATCATCCTCGTCGTCGCTGGGCGTAACGGTGTTCTAACTCGCAGCAGCGGCGGCGGCGGCAACCGACAAGGACGGCGACGGATCGGCGGCGCGCGCGCAAGGGGGGCCCAGGGGCGAGGAGGGGGCGGGCCTCGAGAGGGCGGCGCGCCTCCCTCTGGAGGGCCCGGAGGCTTCGAGGGAAAGCCCTCTCCGAGGCCTCCGAGCCTCTCCTGCAATCAGCGGCGAGCGAGGACTTCTCAGAAGCCCCCGCGCCCTCCCAGAAGTGTTCTCTGTCCTTCGGGGAAGGCTCAAGGAACTCCTAAGAAGGCCGGGGGTCTTCCGAGCCTTCTGAGAAGGCCCGCCCCTTCTCGCTTCCCCCCCCCTGGGCTCGCCGCCGATCCAAGGCACCCCTCCTTTCCGAAAGGCGCGCCCCCCACCCCTTCGGGAGGAAGCACCATCGGAACCAGCGACCCTACAAGCGAAGGCCTGCATCAAACACGCACCCGAGGGGAGGAATCGAACAGGGCAGGACTGTTGAGGGCAGAAAATCCACCCCCAGAAGGATCACCCCGACACGCGAAGCCGTTTAGCAAACGCACCCACGGATTCAATCGAGCAGGGCAGGGATTTTAGTAAACGTTCTGGGCCGTTCAATAAACGCCAATTATCGGGCCTGGGTGGCTTTCATCCCTGAAATTTAACAAACGCCCAGGGCCGCCTGGCAAACGCCCGTGATGAGGGCCGGGGTGTTTTTTCCGTCCCTGGACCTTCTCCCCTCCCGGCGACCCTAAGCGGTTGCCGTGCCAACGCGTCCCGCTGGATGTACGGCTCGTGTGGTTGGTGGTGGTGGTGGTGGTGGTGGTGGTGGTGGTGGTGGTGGTGGTGGTGGTGGTGGTGGTGGTGGTGGTGGTGGTGGTGGTGGTGGTGGTGGTGGTGGTGGTGGTGGTGGTGGTGGTGGTGGTGGTGGTGGTGGTGGTGGTGGTGGTGGTGGTGGTGGTGGTGGTGGTGGTGGTGGTGGTGGTGGTGGTGGTGGTGGTGGTGGTGGTGGTGGTGGTGGTGGTGGTGGTGGTGGTGGTGGTGGTGGTGGTGGTGGTGGTGGTGGTGGTGGTGGGTGGTGGTTGGTGGTGGTTGGTGGTGGTGGTGGTGCTGGTGGTGCTGGTGGTGGTGGTGGTGGTGGTGGTGGTGGTGGTGGTGGTGGGTGGTGGGTGGTGGTGGTGGTGGGTGGGTGGTGGTGGTGGTGGTGGTGGTGGTGGTGGTGGTGGTGGTGGTGGTGGTGGTGGTGGTGGTGGTGGTGGTGGTGGTGGTGGTGGTGGTGGTGGTGGTGGTGGTGGTGGGTGGTGGTGGTGGTGGTGGTGGTGGTGGTGGGTGGTGGGTGGTGGTGGTGGTTGGTGGTGGTGGGTGGTGGTGGTGGTGGTGGTGACCCTCTCCCCGCCCCTCTCGCTGGAGGGCACAACAGCACCGATACTGCTGCCTCCATAGACAGCCCCCCAGGGGCGTGTTCTCTGCCCAGCGCCTCGAGGCGAATAGTCCAGCCCGTGGCGACGAGGGGAAGGGCAGAGCCGCATCAGCACCTTCTCCTCCACTTCGGTGGTAACTCATGGGAGCCTCCCACAGGGCTGGACCTAAACGTTGTTTTTCGTTTGGTTTCGTTTTCCTCTACCTATTTTCTGGCCCTGGCCACCCATACCATCTTATCGGCTCTTGCAAATCGACGCTAATCGACGCTAAGTCGACGCTAAATCGACGCCAATCGACGCCAAATCGACGCTCATCGACGCTCTAAATCGTCACTGATCGACGCAAACCGACGCTGGATCGGCGCTATCTCGTCGACCCCCAGACGCGAATCGGCGCTAATCGGCGCCAAAGACGGGAGCAAGAGGGCACACCGGGCTCCCGTGATGTGCTGCCCAAACTCCCCCGACCCCCGCACGCCTCGCACAACGACGACGCCAGCGGCGGCGACAGCGCGGCGGCGGGATCGGTCAGCATCGACTCGGAGGTCGGACCGAACCGGGATGTGCGTGGGATCGGGCTGCATCGGCACAGAGTCGTGAGCATCGTTTACCCGATCCCCATCTCCAGCGGCGTGGCCTGAGGCCCCACTGGCCGATTTACCCGCCTAGATGGGGATGTAGGCCGTATCCTGCGGGTTTCGAAGGGTGTATCCCCAGCTGGGGGGGTAATTTGGTGGGGGTCTCGAAGGAGATGGGGATGGGGATGGGGGTTGGTTAAATGATACTGAAGACGGCATCAAATCGGATCGGTCGCGCCAGGATGCATGGCGGCGTACAAGCATCGGGCCGCATCGAATCGCGCCAAACATCGGAATCGAGGCGGCCCCCTTTGGAGGGAAGACGCAAGGCTCGGGTTCGGGGGGCTCGGGTTCGCCTGACTGGGCCGTCAGGGAAATGACGAGACCCAATCTGAAATTGGACGCGAGCTCCCGCTGCAAACATCTTAGGACAACCGGACCGCCAAAATTCAAGACGTGCCCGTCTCAAAGCGTAGGCAAACCCCAATTCTGGCGACCTCGAGGCATAGGTTTCCCCGACACTTGCTGGCCTGGCAGGAAGAGCCCAGAATCGAATCGATAAGTCGGATCGGCGATCGAAATGAATCGGATCGGCGGGAATCGGCAGCCGAGTCGGGGGAAGTCGAATCGGCGGAAATCGGCAGGCTAGTAGGCCTCCGTTGAGAAATGTGAATCTCCAAATCGGAATCCGAAGCGACGAATCGAACCGGAATCGAAAGCCGTCGAAATCGAAGCGAATCGACTCGGAGGAATCGAAATGAGCCCTGCCTGGTCGGGCTCGTCCGCCTCCGCGTCCAGCTGCATGTCCCCGCGCGCCAGGCCGAAATCGCAGATCTTCACCTCCGTCGTCGTCGCCGTCGTCGACGTCGTCGTCGTCATCGTCGTCGTCGTCGTCGCCGTCGTCGTCGCCGTCGCCGTCGTCGTCGTCGTCGTCGTCATCGTCGTCGTCGTCGTCGCCGTCGACGTCGTCGTCGTCGTCGTCGTCGACCCGCGCGCCAGGCCGAAGTCGCCCGCCCGAAGTTGCGGACGCGCGGCCTCCGCCCCGCCCCGACGGGCTGCTCGCCCTCTCGGGGCGGACCACCGAGGGGGGCGGCGAGGACGAGGAGGAGGAAAAGGACGAGGAGGAAGAGGAGGAGGAGGAGGAGGACATGGAGGACGAGGAGGTGGAGGAGGGGGTGGAGGAGGGGAGGACATGGAGGACGAGGAGGGGGAGGAGGAGGAGGAGGAGGAGGAGGAGGAGGAGGAGGAGGAGGAGCAGGAGGAGGAGGAGGACAGGGAGGAGGACGAGGAGGAGAAGGAGGAGGAGGAGGAGGAGGAGGAGGAGGACAGGGAGGAGGACGAGGAGGAGAAGGAGGACGAGGAGGAGGACGAGAAGGACGAGGAGGAGGAGGACGAGGGGAGAACGAGGACGAGGAGGAGGACGAGGAGGAGGACGAGGAGGAAGAGAAGGACGGGGAGGAGGACGAGGAGGAGGAGGCCGAGAATCAGTGTAAGCCCCAGACTCATCGACCCTTATCAACGGCATTACAATGATACCCGAGAAATAACCCAATCCTATAGGGCTATGGGCTATAGGGCTATGGGGCTATAGGGCAATGGCCATGGGTCATAGGGCTATCGGGCCATAGGGCAATTAGGGTCATAGGGCTATGGGGCTATAGGTCCAATACCTGATTAGGGTCATAGGGCTATGGGGCTATAGGGCAATTAGGCCATAGGGCTATCGGGCTATAGGGCTATAGGGCTCTAGGGCTCCAGGGCTATAGGGCTGTAGGGCTATACGGCTATAAGGCTATAGGGCTATAGGGCTACAGGGCTGTAGGGCTGTAGGGCTATAGAGCTATAGGGCTATAGGGCGATAGGGCTATAGGGATAAAGGGATACAAGACTATAAGACTATATGGCTGTAGGGCTATAGGGCTATAGGGCTATAGGGCTATAGGGCTATAGAGCTATTAGGGCTATAGGGCTGTAAAACTATAGGGCTATAACGCTGGGGCTATAGGGCTATAGGGCTATACGGCTACAAGGCTATAAGGCTATAGGGCTATAGGGCTGTAAGGCTACCGGGCACCCGGGCACCCGGGCACCCGAGCACCTGGACGTGCCGCCGAAATCGGCGCCAAACCTCACCTAACCATATGAATCCGCTAGGACCCCTACAGGGGGCAAGCTCTGATTGGGGAATAAAGCCTCCCTCCAAGTTCCCTAGGCCCCTGCAAGGGTTCGTTCCCACTGAGGGAGCGCCCCGCATGAAGAAAACCGCTTGGAAATCCTGAACTATGCCAGAACACCATTCCTGGGACTTCCACGCCACGAATCACCGTTACTGATTGACGACCCTGAATCGTGCCAGAACACCATGTCTGGGACGGCAACACCACGAATCAACGTAACTGTTGCGCCCTGACACACCGACACCGTGCCAAAACAACTGCTCTGGAATGCCAACCATGAGGAAACACGTGAAACTGCCGTAAACTCTGACAGCGAACGAATGCGCGCAGCGCCGAGGCGAGAGCCACATCCTGAAAAACTGCCTGCCCTCCGTCCGTGAAACCGCTGCACTTGGTTCAGACGAAATGCGCACGGCGCTAAGGCGAGAGCCACACTTTGAGAAACCGCCCGCCCTCCATCCGTGAAACTAGTGTTTCGGGCTTCAAGATCACAAACGGCGAGGAAGTCTCCGGCGAAACGCACGGCCCGCCCGTTCGACCGGCCCTGGGGCGCGACAGGGAGGACTTTTCTTTTTTTGAGTGGGGGTGAAAAGCATGGAGGAGGACACGGGGCGGAGCACCGAGGGCGAGGCGAGGAGGACGAGGACGACGAGGACGAGGAGGACCAGGAGGAGCACGAGGACGCGGAGGAGGACGAGGAGGAGAAGGACGAGGAGGAGGAGGAGGAGGATGACGACGACGAGGCGGAGGAGGATTGCAGTGTAGTGCTGATGCCCTTAAGGATAGGCATATAACCCTTTTGAATAGGATGGGGCACTTGAGCTCTCCCACCCTTGAAAGAGATGCTCGATGTTGGCACCTGGCATGGTGGGTGATATGCGTGTAGCGCATATCCTGTGGCAGCCACCTCTGCCTCGTAGCACCGTGACCGAGGGGGCCAACGCATGTGGGTCAGACGTTCCATCATGAGGGTACGACGAATGATGGACCCAAGCATGATGTGTGACAGCATTGTGTGAAAATGTGAGCCCAATGTTGAGTCAACATTGGTGTTGGCAGAATGCACCAAACCGAAGTGAAGCACCAGTGTGCGCTCCCAGTTCCCAGGGGGGGCACGGTTTGTCCGCCCCACGGAGGGTGCAAACATAACTCGATCTTCAAGTGACCCGAAGACGTTTCCCGCACTTCGGTCCTCATGGGATGCCGGCGGCGCTTGTGCGAAAGGTGTCCGAGGCACAGGTGGCCGCCTCCCAAGGATGGCACTGGCGGGTCGGTGTTGAGGAGCCCTGTGGCAACCTCAACGGTTGCGAGGAGGAGGACGAGGCGGAGGAGGAGGAGGAGGAGGAGGAGGAGGAAAAGGAGGAGGAGGAGGAGGAGGAGGAAAAGGAGGCGGAGGAGGAGGAGGATTTTTTGACATCGACAAAGCAGCCACATACACCTTGCCTGGTCGCGAGCCAGGAAAGGGACGCTCCTTGGCGTAAAACCTCCACAGATTCACCAGCGATGTCCTGGCGCCTGGAACGCTTTCTGAAAAAGAAATCCGAACAGGGGGGGGCCGAAAGCCGAGGGGCGATTTCCAACAGACAGGAGGATCCCCGTCGGCTAACGGCCCCCCCCCATTAATTAGTCCGAGTCCGAGGGAGCCAAACAGGGTTCCTGCGGAGCTGCAGAGGCGGCCGCCTCTTGGAGGCTGGGCGCGGAAACGACACCACAACGAAAGGCACTTTCTGGCGAATCGGGCGGCACGTTGCAGGCCTCCTTGTTCACCTGAGGGTCCAAGCCAGGGGCGAACGGAGGCAGACATGGCGAATCTTCAATCGTGAGGCCACGCGTGCATGCACGCGGGTATTTACCCGCCATGATCTTGTTGAAATTCGTGCGACCGTGCCTGCTGAACTGACCTGGGCAACGGTTCGCCAAATTGCTTTTGGCAAGCACTCCGTGGTGCAGGAAGGCTCCGCACTTCACACAAAGGAAACAGTCAGAGCCATCGGAAACATGAAAAAGAGCAGGCACATGCGCATTGCTCTCGGCCGCATCCAAATCTGGTTGCGCCGAGCCTACACACTTGCCAGGGCCAGGTTTGGCCACGGACCTGGACCCTTTGCGACAGACCGTGCAACGCCACATGCCACTACAATGCTGCCACACGTGTCCCTGGACAGGCAGCCCCAGGGGTTTCTCTGGATGCTCGGCACGCAACTCGACTCCGTCCAACTTCAGCTTTGGCCACTGTGGCAGAAGCTTCGCGGCCAAGCGGCACACAGCGCGGGCAACAGCAATGCAGCTCTGAACACGATGTTCCTCGGCCTCAGTGGGTCGAGGATGCGCCTGCGCGCCCATCTTTGCGACGGCGTCAGCGTGGCCATTTCCCCGACGGCGGAAACGCTCACTCTCGCCAAGCTCTGGCTCGTCGGGGTCTAAGTGAGCCCTAACCTTGGTTAAGGCAGAGATGTGGCAGCACTGGTTGATGTACAAGAAATGGCCAGCGTACTTGCGCTTGTGCGACAGTCGCGCCGCCGCGGGCAAGTTAAAATGCGAGACTACCGCCTGGCAGTCAGTATAACAATCACTCGGAGTCCCCAGCTGCAGGGAAGCCTGCGCTAGAGCTGCAAACTCGGCCGCAGGGGCCGACTGAGCAATCGGCGCCCACACAGGCCCATGCAGCGTGCACTCGGGTTGGCCATCAGCCGAGACCTGGACCACTCCCCATCCAGCCCTCGAAAGTTCTGGTATCGGATGCCCGAACAAACTCCCATCTACGAAAATTCGGCCCCCGATCACTCCGTCATCGAAATCGCGATCGTCCCGATACGATTTGATTTCCACACCGCCGAACTCCCTAGGCTGAGGCCAATACCCTTCTGGATGCTCGAAGATGCCGCGCGTGTATATAAAATGTCCTCATCCTTCGTGAGGTCCCCACACGCCAACTTGATGATATCCTCTTTCACCAACTCCTCCCTCTCGTCCCTCACGGCCTCACAAGTCCAAAGCCTATGATGCGGGGTGTCAACAGCCTGCTGACAGAGAAGGCAGAGCAGCTGTTCGTCGTCTAACTGGCATCCAAGGGCATGAGCCCGTGACGCTGTCCAGCAGCCCCCACAGGCCAGACTACGAATAGCTCCGTTTTCCATGGGCGTGAAGCGTTTTTTGCGGGGTTCAGATTTGACAATATCAAAGCACACACGGTCCCAGGGCACCTCCAGCTTGATCGCAATGGACCTCTCAAGGTCCCGAACGACCGCCCTTCGCAAAATATCCTTGAGTAAAGTAGGACTGACGTAAGTAAGCGAAACAGCAGTGCCACGATGATCCATCAGCGTGGCGAAGTCCCGCATTCGCCACCCTATCCTCTTTACAGACATGTACAACGCACTGATGGGTCCGTGAACGTGTCTCCATGCGATGGGAAGGGTGACGGACTCGAAGACAGCAGACCAAAGACGGCGCAGCTCTGGCATGCTAAAACAGAAAGGAAAGGCCCTTGTCTGCGCTGCCCAAACCTCCTTGCTCCACCTCACCATCGGTGCAACCATCCCATACCAGCAAGGCTCATCCTCAAACACAAGTGCCGCAGACAAAGGTCGTCCGCCACAAGACGGCCGTAGACACTTGCCAGCCTGCTGCCTGATGCGACCTAACCCGGTGTTACTTAGACCG